AAGGACTGTATTGATGTATTGATAGGTTGATCAATATTGACAAATTAATTATGCGAAATACACTTGGCTCTACACATTAACAAAAAAAGTGAAGTCAAAGACATCTTTCAAAAATTTCATAAAGAAGAGAAACAAAACATTCAAATAGTGACCCCCTACACCCACACATGACTCCCCCCCCCCCCCCCAATATATAGGAAGACAGTCAAGTGATACAAAATCTAATCATTTTCTATAAAACTCCATATCAAGAATTCAATATTTATCACTCATCAGACCCTGTATCGGGTTACAACAAAACCAATATTTATCAGTTATGAGATCCTATATTAGGTAAAATCAAGAACAAAAAACAAAACTCACCTGAAAAAAATCAAAAAATCCCCACCCCCTAAAAAAAAGGAACAATCAACAAGACTAGTTTATATCAACAACTAACAGGTTTCAATCATCAAACCACTTGACATAAATTACTGAAAAATCATCAGAATTCTGCAAAATAGACAGATAAATCCTACCTTTACCAGTAAATTCACTCGTTTCGGATTGAGGCACCGTTGATTGATTGAAAATCCTACCAACCATCCAATTCTTCTCTCTGCATAAAGGAAACAGAATTGATCAACACACATGATATAAAAACAAAACTTGACTTGAAAAAAAACCTCAAGAACACACCAAAATTAGGAACAATTAAATAGCACACAGATATAGATGTAGGAACAAATGAGAACCTTTTTCTCTGTTCTTAGACAGCAAAAAGAGTATTGAATGAGTGAAAAAACTTTACTTGATAATTCTTCTTACATATAATTATATATAAAAATCCTAGTTAGGGTTTGTTGTGAATTTAAAAGATATACTTACCAAATTTTTCATTGAGCATTAGTTTTAAGGTTAGCAATGATTGTTTAGTTATGGTAACAATTAAATGAAATAACAACAAATATTGTTTTTATTTTGTCTATGATGCTTCCCTCTAGATATCTAATAAGGTGTAAGAAAGAGTAGAAATCAATATTTTTACCAATTTGCCTCTCGCACCTCCTCACAGGGGCGTCAACTTCCCTCGTCTGCACATGCCCAAACCATCTCAGTCTTGTTTACCTCATTTTGTCCGCCATAGAGAGGTCACTCCCACCTTCTCCCGGATAACCTCATTTCTGATCTTGTCACTCCTAGTATGTCCACACATCCATGTCAACAATATCCTTATATTTGCAAATTGCATCTTCTAAACATGTGAGTTCTTGATTGGTCAACACTCTACTCCATACAACAAGGACGGTCTAACTATCACTCTGTAGAACTTACCTTTAAGTTTAGGAGGTAGCTTCTTAACACACAAGACTCCAGAGGCAAGCCTCCATTTCATCGATGTTGTCCCAATGCGACATGTGACATCATCTCCAATGTCAAACTTATTGTATATACCAATATTACTTGTCATTCTAATAAAGAATTTATAATGTTGTAAAAGAATTTGGAAGAAAAGATTGCTTACAAATTCATTATCAAGTTAATTTTAGGGGAAAAGAAAAAATATACCTCCGAACTATCGTAAATGATATGCAGATACCTTCAGTCATTCTTTTGGGACATTGGAGCCAAAAGCTTGAGCATATATAACATTTATACTAATGGACATACACGCAGTGGCGGGCACATGATTTTCATTAAGGGGTGTCAATGGTCATAAAAAATATATAAAAATAAGGGGTGTCAATGGTTATAATATATATATATATATATATATATATATATATATATATATTACATATATATAAATTATTTATTTAGAATCTAGTAACTTAAAAGAACTAGATTCCAAACTTATAATATATGAATATTCTTATCATTCTATTAAAGAATTTAATAGTGTTAACCAACATACATATATAGAGAATTTGGAAGAGATTGCTCTCAAATTTATCATCGAACATTAATTTTACATATAAGGAAGCGATTTCTCAAGTGGTACTTATTTTTTAAGATTAGTCTGATAGTCCTTTCTAGCAATGATCGTTTAGGGTTTGTCTCAAATTTATCATCACAATAACAAATCATTTACTTTGTTTTGTCTAAAATGCTCCTCCTTGAGTACTTCCCTCTAAATTAGGGTTGTTTAAAATCTAACTGAAAACAATAATCCAAACTAAAGAAAGTCATTAATTTATCAGTAATGACTTATTGATTTAGCGGTTTCGATAATAATCCTAATCAATTTTCATATTGGATTATAGATATTTAATGGTTTGAGGGGTTTTTAACAGGTTAACAAATAACTAAATTAACACTCCGCCCTTTCGGAATGTTTAAATTAACTCGTACCTTCCGGACAAGACTAGGAGTGATTATTAAGGCATGACATATTTTAATTGATCAATAGTTGTATTTTATGTATTGAGAAGTCTGGTAGCTGCAAAATAAATGTCAGGAAAAGTTACTATAAGTTACTTCAAAAAATTCTTTGAAAATTGGACTCAAATGCCTTGAAAATTTTCTCCGAATCAGAAAAATATTCACATTTTTGTGAGAATATAAGGGCCTGGGCAGGAACGTCCCTAGTTGTGCTTGCTGCTCACCAGAGTTCGTGAGTGCACCAGAAGAAGGAACGGAGGCGAGAGCTATACCTTCTAGAACCGGAGCAGTACAAGTAGACACATTATAAGGTGGGCCCAAGTGTCGGTGGAAGATGTATTTGCTTTTGAGTAAGATGCAATCTGTTATGTGCATGGTTCACTTAGTTTGTCACCTTGTTTCTAAGCGATTCTCAATGATTCTTTTAATGTGAAAATCTTAATGGTCAAACTGATAAATTAACATCTTAATGATTTTGTAATAGTTTAGTATTCTACACAGCAATAAACTTCAAAATCGAACCTAATCAACTGGTATGCATCCCTAAAACTACAAAAACCAATGAGATAAGCGTTTAAGATATATAGTCTACCACAATCTGCATGAAGACAACAATTGCAGAGGATAATGAAAAAATTTCAATTTCATCTTGTTTAAGTCTCTTCTTAGATTCTTCCTCCAAATATTGATGAGGTGAATGATAAAGAAAATGTTGAGCTTATTATATATGAATATTTTCCATTTTTTCAATTATAATGTTAACAATTATACATATGTAGGGAATCTAGAAGATAGGCAATAACTACTTGTGCCATCTAAAAGGTCACTAAAATTTCTTATATGTTTTAACTTACTTTCTATATTTTACAACCCACCACGCGCTTTTAGAGAAATTATTAGAATCAAATTTCAGTCTTCGAGGTATTTGACAATTTTTTTTCCGTAAATCTAATTTGAAATTTTGCACAATAATTAACTTTTTTATGAATTAGATGACCTTACCATTGTTTTTGTTTATACTTTTATTGTGTTATTTTGACTTTCTTTTTGTTGTTCGTGTTGTTGTTGACATCTCGCTTTTTTGAGCATGCATATTAATTATGTATTTATACTTTTATTGTGTTATTTTGACTTTCCTTTTGTTGTTCGCGTTGTTGTTGAGATCTCGCCTTTTTGAGCATGCATATCAATTAGGATTCCTAGAAGCCTAAAGTTGGAGAATTAGGAAAAGAAGCCAAAGTAGGTCGCTCATCATATTTTGTGTCTCAATAAACTTTTTTTTTTGTCTACAAATCTTCATCTTCTTGAAACTTTGAGAGTAGCAAATAATGGAGTAATGGAAGAGATAACATAACTTATATTTATACATTCCCATTGTAATAATTATTCCAGGTAGTAGTGATATACTGTTAAGGAATATTCTTGGTATATATTTAAAAATATGCATATTTTTCAACGTGTTCAAGCTTTAATAAACAAAATAATTCAGTTTCTCAATTAATGAGAGATAGGATACCCGTTGAATTAATCGACATGCATGCAAATTGAGATGGAGTTAAAGTATAGGTTACGAGTTTGATCAAACTTAATAGTTTTAGTCCAATTTTATATTGTTTTAAGAAATTCATTAGATATGTATAAATTATTAATTTAGAATCTAGTAACTTAAAAGAACTAGATTCCAAACTATAAAATTTCAATTAATCCAAGCTCCTTATCTACACGCAAATTACTCTGAACACCGTGATTATAATAAATAAAATAACAATATAAGTTGTGGAAACAATGCATAAATGTATTTTGGGTATGCAAAGAAATTGACATCTTTATAATATTCCAACCTCTAATGCATGATACAAATTAACCAAACCACTCAGAAGAGGTATTCATTATACAGATATCGTTTAACGTACCTTAGATCTGAAGACACAAATTAGAATAGAATATTTTTGTAGTTATTGTTCCTTTGAGAATGTTATATTATGTTTTTAATATTGACTATCCTTTTTCCTGAGCCAAGTCTATCAGAAATAGTTTTTCTATCTATCAAGACAGGAGTACGATATGCATACACACCATATTCTCTAAACCCTTTAGTGAACCTACACGATGCAAATCAAGATTAATTCTCAATGATATTGGTTCTCATGATAGATCGTGCGACTCTATGACTTGCAAATTAGATACTTGCTATCGGCCCCTAAATTTAAGGAGTGATATATTGCTTAAATCTATTGTGCCTACTCCCGATATTGAAGTCAATTTTATAATAAAATACCATAGAGCTTTCCTTGTCGCTAATTCCTCTTCAATGTGAAAAATTTACTAGGAAAAAAGAAAAAAAAAGATATACAAAATCTAAATAGCAAAATAGATGAAAGATATGGAAAGAGAAGAAAGAACGGAAAGAAATTTAGTGAGTTCGAGATTTCTTTTACAAAATATTATTTGTAATTAAAAATTTGATGTGACAATTTCTATCTAATGTGGATAGTGACGTGTTATCCACCTCAGCGCGTGATTGAAAGACACATATGGTCAGTGGGGTTTAAAATAGTCTGCTGTAATAACTTTAAGTGTTCAATTGACAAAGACGTGAATTGAAGGGTCCAAGTGAAAAACGGAGCCAAGTATAGACGTCTATCAGATCCTTCCACCTTTTTATTAATATGTCCGATTCAGGTATGTATTGCTGCACTTACTCTTTCAGAGAAGTTTTCAAATTCGGCATTCAATGTGTATGAGAATTATTTTGAGGATGTTCTCATGTTTTACTAATACTTTACTATTTCTTCCTTTTTCTTGAACTATACTTTATTATGTTTTTTCTTGACCTGAGTCTATCAAAAATAGTCTCTCTAGCTAGGAAAGGTGGGAATACGGTCTACATACACACTATCCGAAACAGTCCCTCTACCTTCCAAGGTAGTGTTAATGTTCTCTCTGTTATGTTCAGAAAGGACGGCTAAAAGCTGCGTTTAAGGCCTAAAAACAATACACAAAGAGTAACTTAAACTACCAGCATTCATGTCTTAAAAGTCACAGTTGAGAATATTAAAAAGCGCGTTCAATGGACAGTCTATCGGAAACAAGTTTAAAGCAAAAAAAAGTTTTTCCCATGGTTAATATTACAGGTTCAGTAAGCTAACAGCTCAAAATCTTCTTTTCTTCAATCTGGAGCCATCAAATTCTTCTTCATGCCTCCGTCTACGATTACCACCGCCTTCTTGCTCTTTCACATTTCTCATTTGCCTCTCGCCATCAGCCCTCTCCCGATCAGGTGCACTCCCTCTGTTATAATGAGACCTCGGATTCCCGTACTCCTGTACACCATCCATATCCCACCTATCACTCTGACGATGAGCACTATAAGATGGACGGTCTCGCCTTTGAGGGGCTATTGCTTCTTCAGTAAAAGAAGTCCGTGAAGAAGGCCTCGTTCTATCTTCCCTGTACTTAACCGGAGACCTGTGCTGACGACCATACAATTCTTCCGTCAATCTCCTCGGAGGATGGGACCATGTACGGGACCTAATAGGAGATTTTGACCTCATTCGAGGTAAACCGCCTCTCTGCATCGCTGTAAACTCTGTATCACCCTGAGCCAAATGACTATCAGATCCATCATACATAGACTGCTCGTTCCGATCAGCTGGAAAGTGTCTATCGAACTTCTCACCATGTCGAATACCAACATACGCAAAGCCATCTTTATCAGTGCCTCTTCTTGGGCTGATATTGCTGGGAGCTCTACGAAACCTTTGAGTGCCCATCATTGCAGCATCTTCTCTTCCATTCGGGGACTGTCGACGTGCAGGTGGATGTCGTAATGAAGGCAAGTCATCATTTAATGGCTTCCTCCTCCTATTAGTACCAAAGGCAGCACCATCATAGTCATTACGCTCATCTGCAGATTCCCAAGCAGGAGCTGTACGTTTATGTCTAAAGGGATAATCAGCAACACCTCCAAACCTTTCAAAATCAGGCCCAGAATACCGGCCACGGCCCCAGCCCCTTCCTCTTCCATGCATGAAGTCCCCCCTTGAGCTACCAAATGAACGGTCCTGAAACCTATCTCGCACAAATTTAGGACCATAGCCATAGATTTCATCTCTGGAAAAAGCACAGTAATAAAAAGTCAAGAGTTGAGCAGCATTATAAAAAAGAAAATAACTATAAATGAAACAGCAATAAAAAGAAAAATCACCTATTCCTTTGTAGATGGAATATCTCCTCCTCCATATAAGAATACCTCTCTCTTCCACTTCTTGAAGGCAGCGGCCTACCCGTTTCAGGTCTGAATACAGCGACATTCTGAAGATCTTTTTCAGCTTTCTCATCACAGGCTTTCACAAAGTCCTCATGAGACTCTGCATTAGTGAAGCAAAGAGAAGAATGAACATTTTTACTTGAAGGTTCACTATTTTTGCCTGAATCAATTCCCTTGGTCATTCGGTCTTCTACAATCGACTGCATCATGTATTCTCGGATCTCACCTTCTTCACATTCCTCATCCTGTCCGACACACCCCAATCTCTCAGTACCAACTGATTTAGTTATCTTTTCCCCATCATTTGCCGACCCCTCACCACTTGCAACCAAATTATATGTGTCTTGTGTCTTTTTGTATACCTTGTGATCTTCATTCATGCTCGCGGGAACAGATGCCTCCACTTTATCACTGCATACATTTAGCTCTTTAGCAGCAATATCAACTTCATTAGCTTGTAGCAAGGCTTCTTCTACAGGTTCTGACTTTGACTGCAGTACTGATAAGTCAAACCCTCGAAAAGTACTACCAAGACTAACACAAATCACATTTGCAGACTTGTGACGCAGAGAAGGATGAATTGATGAGATGGGAAAATTAAATTCCTGCTCACTAGCTCCAACAACATGCTTCCCTTTATCACTGTGCCCTGAATCGGCAGGAAGTTCAAGTTTACTGTGGCTTTCCCCTTGTTTGGGAACAACTTTCTTCTTGACAGAAACTTTTTCCGTACCTAAAGCTTCCCGGCCAGCTAATTTTTTGGCCAATGCTGGTTTCACTAGATCCTCAACATTTCTTGAAGCATGGATTGGTGCACGAGGATAGAGCAAAGAGTACCACCTCTTCTTACAAGGAAGAACAGAAGAAGAGTTATTAGACTGTCGGGCAAGAGCTCCAGGCTGCAAATACATGATGAAAGCAAGTGTTGTTAGCATGATGACAACTAAATGATTGTATATATCAATGTAACTATATCGATACATAAATTAGCACGATCATATACATTTGTTGTAGAATCAAAGGAATAAATATTGTGATAGAATAGTTGATTTGGAGGGATAGCAAGACAAATTTAGAGGGATTGAATAGCAGATTTGTAGAGATAGAATAACTGATCTTTAGGGATAGGAATGACGGATCTTTAGGGATGTAATCTTTATTTTCTCTATATAATGGAATGACTCTTTCACTTTGAGAGACATTCAGCAGAAAAATTGACATGGTATTAGAGCCATACCCATCCCAATTTATTGTTCACCGATGTTGGGCCTCCATTTAGAAGTGTTCACGCTCTAGTTGAGGTCTTTGTAGTTATCACAACTATTTAAAAGTATGAATTCACATCACTTTGAATCCTTCAGTGATCGTTTTGCTAGAAAAAGATATTCTTCTAGGGAGTTTCAGTTTCAGTTGTTTGTCTCCGGCAAAAGAACTACGGGTCTATATAGATGGAAGCGATCTTGCTCATACTAATGCGCAACAAACCTAGGTGAATGGAAGATTAAAGATGCTCGGGTGATGACATGGATTCTAGGGTCAATTGATCCTCTTATTGTTCTTAATCTCAACCGTATACAAGACATCTAAGGCCATATGAGATTACTTACAAAAGGTTTACAACGAAGATAATAGCGCAAAACGCTTTCTGTTAAAGTATGAGCTAATTACTCTCAAGGAGGTCTTTCTGTTCATGATTATTTTTCTGGATTTCAGAACTTATGGGCTGAATTTACAAAATATTGTCTATGTCAAATACCTACTGAATCTCTATTAATGATTCAGGCAGTTTATGAGCAAAGCAAGCGAGACAATTTTTTTATGAAATTATGCTCCAACTTTGAGAGTGTTCGTTCTAACTCGATGAATCGTGACTCGTCTCCCTCTTTAGATTTTGCTTTAGGGATTACTTCGTGAAGAGCAACGTCTTGTCACACAAAATGTTTTTAAGATAGAAAATGATGTCACTGTTGCATTTGCTGCTCAAGGCAAAGGAAATGGTAGGGATGTGAGTAGAACTCAATGTTAAAGTTGCAAGGAATATGGTCACATTGCTAGCAATTGTAACTATAAGTTTTGTAATTATTGTAAACAACAAGGACATATTATCAAAGAGTGTCCCACGAGTCCTCAAAATCGTAGGATCAATGCTTTTCAGGCTAATATAAATTATTCCACTAATGATAACTCATCTTCAGGACAAGTTCTTACTCCTAAAATGGTACAACAAATGGTTGTGTCAGCCTTTTCAACATTGGATTACAAGGTAATGATGTTATATCTAATTTTTGAATTGTTTATTTAGGTGCTTCCAATTATATGACCAACTCAACGACCATCCTAAAAAAGGTTCATAAGTATCAAGGTTCATCACAATTATAGATTGCCAATGGTAGTAATTTACCCATTACTAATGTTTGGGACATTAATCCAACTTTCAATAATGTTTTTGTTTCACGAAAGCTCTCAACTAGTCTTATTTTAGTTGGACAATTGGTAGATAACAATTGTGATGTAAATTTTTCTCGTAATGGTTGTCTTGTGCAAGATCAGGTGTCGGGAAGGATAATCGAAAGGGGCCTAAAGTTGGACGATTGTTTGCTATACACTTTCCATTCTTCCCGTTCTATCTTTTGCTTGTACTTCTACTGCTAGTAAGACTAAGGTTTGACATAAGCGTCTAGGACATTCAAATTCTGTTGTGTTGTCTCATTTATCAAATTCTGGTTTATTAAGAAATAAAAACCAATTTTCAGTTGCTTCCATTGATTGTTCTATTTGTAAATTAGGTAAAAGTAAAACTCTTCATTTTTCTAATTTTGGTAGTCGTGCTATAAAATATTTTAATGTCATTCGTAGTGATGTAATCTTTATTTCCTCTATATAATGGAAAGACTCTCTCACTTTGAGAGGCCTTCAGCAGAAAACTGATAAGTGTTACACAGTTAGTGTAGCGATACTTTTAGGACTTGTAGAGATATTGTGTAATCTTTTAAAATAGGAACTCGATTATGGTAATCTTTGTAAAATAGGAATATATTAGTCTTTCCATATACTATAACTCAGTTGTAGTTATATAATCATGTACTCTCTTTCTTTTATACATATACACACACACACACACAAAACTAGTAGTACTACTACTAGACAGAGAGTCTAGCAGTGTTTATCAAAACAAAAATCATCAACATAAATAAGTACAAGCAAGGGGGGCTAGGCCTTACCTTGTCAAACCTATTAGGTAACATACCTCTATTAATTAACAAGCATGAAGAAAAATAAGAGCTAGAGAGAACTTGATATTCTATGATAATCACAGAATTCGTAATACACTCTATGATGATATTACAAATGAGAATTCTTAAATAATGCACAAATATAAAATCCAAGAAGAAAGTTGAGTTATCAACCTCAAACTTTTTTTTAAAACAAATTTATACCACTAGACAGGGCGTCTAGTAGCCTTCAATTAATAATAAGATCCTCAACGTGAATAAGTACAAGCAAGGGGGGCTAGGCCTTACGTTACCAATCCTAATGAGGTAACAAACCTCTACAAATTAACAAGCATGAAGAAAATAAGAGTTAGACAAAACTAAGTATTTATGATCATTACAAAGTTTATTATACACTCTATGATGATATGACGAATGAAGATACTTAAATAATGCAAAAATATATACGTAAAGAAGAAGGTTGAGTTATCAACCTCAAACTTCTTTTTATATATGTATGAACTAAAAAAGATATTTCTAAAACTAAATATTTTCTTCTTATCCTCTTCTTCATATTCATCCAATAACACTTGATAGTTCATCACTTCTTCTTGGACTTATTGGATCTTGTCAAAGTTGTTGAAACTGTCATAAAATTCCGCTTTGCCTTGAGACAAATTCCTCTATCACCTTACCATCCCAACTATGTTGTCTTCCATGTGTCTTTTTCTTGTTTTTGTTGTTTCCGCTTCTTTGTTGCCTAGGTGAAAGATCCGCATCCCTAGCCACTTTATCAAACATATATCTAACTCTTCTTCATCCTCTTCAAATAATTTCTCTCCCAAATAAATACATTGGCTAACTCCTGATGCTATGGCTCCTGACTCATTCTTCTTCGATCACACTTTTAGGTACAAATATTGGAGCCTATGGGCTTAGCTTGCTATTCAAAGGAGGAGGCGTACCTTGTTCTTCTTCATCAAACAAATGATCCCATCTAGAAACACTTATCTCTCCTTGTTTTTCCTTAGAGATAATAAAATCGTTTGTCGATTTAGCATGAGAGAGATGACATACCGTTCTCTATACAATGCTCTAGTTGATTTTTTCTAGTAGCCGATATTGGTTCAAACACATTTTGAGTTGGTAAAGTTAAATTAGGATCAACGCACTCAGTCACCCCTTACTCTTGACTTGAAAAATTACTTCGACTTGTCGAGGAACCAATACGACTACCAACTGAATTTTTGTGTGCAATAACAGTCCAATTTCCAGATGCACTCTCTTCTCTATTAGAATTTTCAGCTTGCAAGTCAATAAGTTTTGAAGCTGCGGTAATTTCAATATTAAGCCGCGCATCAGTAACACCTCAATTTCCAACATCATTGCCATTTAGTTGCTGCCCATAATCGCCATTGCGATGTTGTGACCAAAGCTTTTGCAATTGTTTCACTGTTGTGCTCTTGAACTCCAACATGATCAACTATATCACCAATAGCCACACCTTGTTGATTATTGCAGCCACCCGAAACATCTATTTGGTGTTGTACTATCTCTCTACTGGGAACAAGGATTTGATTCTCTGTTGTCGCTACAACAGAGACATTTAGTTCTGAAGTTCTAATTTCCGTAGGTCTGGCTATTTGATTTCCACCTGCTACCCCCGCAGAAATAGCCAAAGAATTGTCCTTGTTCGAATTAATTTTCTAAGGTAATTGCTGTTTTTCAATATCTTCTTGTCCAGCTCTCTTATCATTCAAAAAATCACGTGCATCTCCCTTTAATTGTTCCGTATTGTTAGCCTCAGAATCAGGCTGCACTGTTTTCCTCATCAACAAGCGACAATTATTTTGTTCATGTCCTCGATGTTTACAACGAGTGCAATACAGTGGAAGATAATCATAGACAATTTTCTGATAATGTTCAATAATTTTACCCAATTCTTTCTCCAAAAACTGTAGTCTGACAGGATTTGGATGCTTATCTAATAAGTCTAGGATTATCTTAACCCTACCAGTACTTGGCCTGGTTCGATCTTGTGTTGCTTTATCCACCGCAATAGGCTTTCCTGCCGCTGTCACTATCGATAATAAGGACCTTCTTGCAAAGAGATCTGTAGGTAACTCTGACAATGAATTCCATATTCAGGCTTTAGGTGTTTCCTCTTTAGGGTTGAATGATGGTGTCCAGAAAAATTCTGAAGAAATACTCTTCACCATCAAACTTAAAATATCCATAAGAATTTGACAGAACCTGTGCAAAGTCCTCATATAAATCAAACCTAACCAAAAAATGACAAAAATCAAGTTGTCCAATGTTACAATTTCCTTTAACATCAAATTACTTTAGCAAAAGCTTTCGCAACTCGGATAACACCGGTTTTCCATAAGCAAATTTGATAATCATGGCTTGATGTAAACTTTCTTCCCTAGGAAACTGCTCTCTTTCTTCCATTGAAAATCTCACAGTGGGTTCTCCATAAAGAAACTCAATGGGCTTTAGTATGCGTTTTAACAGGTTTTGGGTCGTTTGTTGTGGTTTAAGGATCGCTGCATTGGATGCTTTTGTATTAAGGTTGACGTTTGTCTCTCCCGCAGCCGGAGGCTGGGGAGAGGGCGAAGCAACTATGGCTGCTATTCAAGTGACCATAGAGAGAGGGAAAGGAAAGAGTGGGGTCTAGGGTTGTC